ATTCAACGACATTAAATCATACATTGATCCACTTGTATACATTTTTATCATCATAATTTTAAAACCTCTTTCTAATGTCAAGCATCTTATCCTAAGATTGGCCTTGTTGATAAGTGTCTGGTGGTTATCTATACTGTCCTTCAATCGTAACACTCTCCTGATAGCCTCCTCAAGAAGTCGTATGCTTGTCCCCTCTAGTCCCAAGACGATTGCATCAACAGCCATGACCTAATAACGTAATGATATTGATTAAACAATAAGCATATTTTACACACAGAAATATATCGCTTCATTTTCAGTTTGACCATTGATAATACCCGTAGTGGAAATGTAGTGTCTTCTACCATTAGTATTGTGATCATTTGTTGAGTAAATTAATGCAATAAAATTGATATGGTATTTGTGATATAATCAAATGATTTATACATACTGACTCGTCTAGTTCGTCATTCTTGTTTTCCTCAACCTTTTCTGTATCTATCTCGACGTCCTGTTCATTTTCTATTTCATTTTGTGCCTCAGTTGCTCTTTGCTCCATGTATTCCCTTTGTTCTACTTTGATGATTTCTTTAGCTTTTTCGAACTCATGTCCAATGCTCTCCAATATTTGTTCATCATGATCAACAGGTTCGCCAGACACCTTCGAAGGAAATGAAATACCAGTACACGTACATTGATACATTAACCCTGTTACCGTAAATGAAAGAAATAGTCAAGCACAATGCCCAAATAGGAGAAACAAAATTGTAGCAATGAAATCAGTGCGAAAGGTAAGAAAGAATGTCACACAAGGTTGTGTTGAGCACGGCCCTACCTTGAACTTAAGCAGGCCTTTATATTCTTCAGAGTCACCAAGTTTGGCACATACGGTAACATCCCCTTCTCCATCTATTCTGATCTGTTCTAACCATAAGTCGGTAGTCCCAACAACGTTTACCATATCTACCCAACGTTGCCCTGACAACGCTACCGCAGTAGCATTTGGTACCCTTAGTACCACTGGTATGGTTTGATCTTTGTAGAACATCCCATGGGTTGGGCAAAGTAGCTCAAAGTCCTTTCCCCAGCTCGCCAGACATTTCGGAAATGGTGCCAGTTCGGGGTGGTTTGTTGTTGAGTTGATAACAAAATTACACACGTTTGGAATACTCATCCTTGGTGTTTGTGCATCTTCGTACCCATACAGAGCCAAATGGTATTGGCCCGCCAATGGACACCTTAATCCAACTTTGAGTCTAGTACCGTTTTCTCCATCTTCATCTACATATTTAATAAATGTAAACTCGTCCATTTTAGTATGATTGGAATCTTTGATATGAGCAGTAGCTCCATTTTCTATTGTTGGCTCTTTATCGACGGCGTTATGAGTTTTTATTCCATTTTCCATATTTTGGTTTTTGGAAAGTTTCATAGATGCCGATATAATACAATTTGGGTTAGTTTTGATTTCTATTTCCATCACACCTGATTCGTTCGATATAATTGGTGTATCAAACGCTAGTATTTGCGTCCCCAACAGCGTTCCCTCATCGGTTATACCAACCCTACCGTTAGCAAACTTTGGAAATGGTAAATGTGAAATGGCTGGGTCATCACAGGAGATCAAATAACAGCAGATTAAAGGCAGTGCGCCCTGTGATAGTTTCTGCTTTGCGAATATGCGAAAGGCAAACTTCCCACAAAAAGGAAGCTGTACGTAAAATATTGCGAGAGCGTTCTTTCGAACTTCATGAACCGAATATTGATGGTGTATATTTGTTTCACCTGTGTCTGTTGCACTGATTAGCTCATGTGTAAAGTCTAAAGGCATATCATTGGCAAGACTGAATTCCATTTGAACTAATCCGTCTTTTTCATTTATGCGGCTGGTCTGTGCTTTACCAAGCGGATTTATGTTAAGATTGTCTGTTTCAAAACATGGTCCCCAGAATCGAAGTTCATTAGCTACACATAGTGTATGGGCTTTAATGTCCGCATCAATGGCATCGTTATGAAGTTTATAAGCTACGCAGAGCTCAAGTTGACTCATTTCCGTTTTTCCATATACGTTTAATTTATATTCTCCACTTTTTGGTAATGAAATCGAGCATTTGAGAACTCCAGATGTTCTATTTCTGTCCACAAAGACGTGTCTTTCTAGAGTTTCAACATTTTCAGTATTACTAGATATTGCACTAAGGTTAATCCAATACTTCTGGGACTCATTACTAGGAGTTTGAATAACGATATCAATTTCACCAGTGTCTGTGTGAATTGCACATTTTTGATGCGACATAAGTTGCCACCCCATAAAGTAGAAATGAGGGGTGACGTAAGCAAGTGTTTCAAATTCAAAGGCGGTGATTTGTCGAGTCAGTAACTGCCATTTGGAGTCATAGGGGAAGTGAGTGGTAATAAATTCTGGAGCTTCCGTGAAAAAGTAGTACCCAATATTCATGCAGTCCTCATCTCGTTTGACATTTTCATTGTCGTCCATTGAAACTACCATGTGTTGATGAATTATATGCCTCCATTTGTACTGTCGCGATGCCATGTACGCATCCAGCAGTTTCCAGTCATCTCCAAGCTGAACAACATTCCAGAAGCGTCTGTTTTTCGTAGTCATAACGTCACCAGGTTGGTAGTTGTGACCTTTAACATCGCCTTCTACAACCTCACAGTTAATATGGGCCAAACTGTAACAAAATTGATGAACGGTATACATTATGATGTACACGATTAATATACGACGTAGATGTGTATTGTATTCTTAAGTATGTTAAAATATTCAGGTCATACCAAACATTTGATATCAATTGCTGTTAGTGCAAAATAAAGGAGGTTCTTCTTACCAACCAGTAAAGTAAAAAGCAAAAACACAACAACTTAATATTGCAGTTACTAACCTGCACATATCTTTAAACAATTCACTATAACTTTCAGATCCCATCTTGACTCTCGCTAGGTACATCAGAGGACTTAACCTCCATCCATTATCATCCTTTGGATCAATATCATCCGTATTTTGAGTAGCAAGCCAAGTGAAAATTGCCCGGATCTTTAACGCAGTGTTATTCCAATCTCGTGTTAGAGTGTCAACAACGTCTATCAGTGGCTGGTGAAGTAATCTAGTCGGCATCTGAAAGATAGAAAAACAGTCATTCAGTCATTTCGTGTGAGGTGGAACGTTCACTTATCATTATGTCTTGCAACTGCATGTCCTTTTCTGATCAAAAGAGAAGTGGCCATAACATAACACACCGTCTGGACCATGAAATGATAAATTCTATACATTTGTCGACTCCTTTAACCGGGAAAACTTGGTATTAGTCTCGAAGAAAGCCAAGGGGGGTTGTTTTTTAGTATATGCATTGTTTTATTGCATAATATGTTTGTCTGATGTTTTCTGATGAAGATTTGACAAATATGCTGTAATGTGACCTTAAGCAATTTTTTCTGCAAGGTCAGCAGAATTTACAATATTCCATGAGTAGTTATTTTAAGAATCTTGTTTTAAGAACTCTATACTTGCTTTTACATGGTTTTAGTGATTACATGTCACATTTACACATGTACTTAACTTTAATGATACAATCTAAAAGTTGTCTGAAACAATAATGGCTGTGGTAAAAAGGAAAATAGATCGATTTTCAATTCAGTTTTTCTTTTTCTAAGAATGATATCAATTTTTTTAAATTGTATCATTTTATGTCATTTAGAGCAATATATTGGGCACATTTTCTGAAAAGTCAAAAGATTCTGTTCAGTGACCTTTCATGAGCACCTACTCTTAGCTATTTTTCAGTCACATTTTCAGAGGGCTGAAATGGTTATTTCATCATGTTTATGGTCATTCTGACCATTTCCATTGTGTTCCCAGTCATGTAAATGATATGTGGAACTAGTTAAACTGTCTGGAGGTCCAAACAGAACTCTATTATCTTGGTTCAATTTTTTTTCAAAATCCAGCATGGTTTTGTCACTTTTTGTTTTGTCATTTCCTGTTAACTTCCATGGCACCTAAAATATATATCATCTGAACCATTGATCTTTAAACTTCTGTATTGTTTTGGCCCATCCTGTATTTGAGTATTATTGAGTAAGGGCAGACTGTATGATTATTAGAGTAAGGAATGAGTCATTGTCAGTGTATACTCCAGCTATCAGACCTATTATTCAATAATTCAGAGACATAATAATAACGTTAACCTTTTTGTATATGTCTCTAGGTCTGAATAACTCAATGGCTACACGCGCGGATATAATACAAACCTTTGTTATAAACAATGGTTGAATTGTACAATTAAGCATTCACGATTTATTCTAAACCAGAGACATGTTTATACGTCTCTGTGCGAAAGTGCGAAAATGCTGTTTTCTATGCAAGTAATGTTTTTTTCACTTCAGTATTATCCCAAATTAAAGTTTTTATCATATTTGATTGACTGTGTGAGTGACATGTCTCAAACAATATGTTGTCCTTTTTCATTCAAAAATAGGCGCATTGCCTGTAGTTTTTGGAAGTTGTTAGAATTTGCTACAGACGCCGATTACCAACCACCAACCGCCAGCCACCCGAACAACCGACTGCCCACCGCAACGGCCAGGGTAAGATGCCGTGGGTGTGATCCCATGTGATAAAACCCCACAAAACAAGGAAAGACAATTCAAGTAAAATTTGTTGAAAAACATTAACACGTTAGACCTATAGCTTGAAATGCTTAGAATGCACAATACGGGGCACAATATAGCCATGTGAAATTTAAAAAAGTCCATACCGTCCCGGGGGTGAGGCCCCCGCGCCGGGCCCCGCGTCATACCCCATCTTCTCTTGCAGTGATGCGAACCCCAAAAATACCACCCCTTGACAATTGCTGGCTTCGCCTCTAGACTCTCTTAAAAATACAAAAACATTTCCTAATATAAGGCATTACTTCACTTACATGTATTGTAGGCCTATATTTTGTCATGGAATATAAATTCTCTACGTTCGTTAATTTCATGTGACAATTCGTTCGTAAATATACCGTCGAGTTCGTAAGTAAAGTTTGTTATTTTTAGTGTAGAAATCTATTCTAAGGCTTATATTTAGTTTAGTTTTAATTTTAAATCATAATGAATAGTATCAAATGATACCTTAACTAATGTTTCACATTTTTTTGTCGTAAAAAAATATATATACATATAGGGAAGTGTACAAAATGAGTTGATATAATGTAGCCTAGCGGGCGATAATACATGAAATTATATTGATATTTGCGATTTTCGATCGGCCAAGGTCCTAAGTTCAAGTTCACATAACCCAGAATTGGACATCAAGACTCCGTCAGGTCTGAATAAAGCTCTAAAACCAGATATAAACAAAAGGTTGAACTAATCTTCTTGATGAAATCAAAAAGATTTAATTGTCGAACGCAAATAAACTTTAGGTTCAGCCACAGGTACCTGTATCAACACCTGACAGTGACATCTATTGGTGACCAAACCCTGGAAATAACCCTTTATCTCTTATATGTATACGAGATATATTTTGAGGGTTCTGTCAACAGAAGATGTCACTGTCAGGCATTGATACAGGTGTAACGATAACGACCCTTGGGCACATCCGAAAGAGAGTGTGCTAAATTCAATACCCCGTACGGGAATTGAACCCAGGACCTTCCGCTCTCGAGTCAGACGCTCTACCCCTGAGCCATAAAGGCTAGCCACTACAGCTGAGACTGTAGTAGCGACTTGCTATCGAAGGTCATTATACAGGTTCCAGGTGCTTCTAGTTTGGCTAATAACGTGTGTGGCCTCTTATATTTTGATGCTTTTCTGACATAGTATTTTCAAAAAGATTAACATGGCTGAAATTCTTTAAATTACAAGAGGGCACAGGCTTATTGCACAAAAAACTAAATAATCTGAAATATAAAAATGTCATTCATGTACAATATGAGTAATACATGTATACATTTTCATATATTATTGCATAATGGTCTCCTAATTTCTTATTTTTGGGGTTCTACTGACGCAATAGAATAGTGAAACGGGCTGTAGTGAGTTAGCTCTCCACAGGCTTTTCTTTTCAGTGGGGAATAAGAACATGCATTTCAGGGGGATCTGCATACAGCTACAGATAAAATAAAAAGATAGTCCATAAGTAAAGAATAATGGGGGAATCACCCATTAGCCTTCAGTTCAATGTTCTAGTTTGCTATACAAGAAATCAAAATGATGCAATGATTGTCATTCTGTCGACTTTTGGACAGAAGTACAATGTATGCACAAAATAATAATGTAGCATAATAATGGAAATGAATACACCCAGGGCATTTACTGTTTATAAGCTCTGGATTCTGGAACAGTTTATGTTCCCAATAAGATGCTGGGTTGTATTCTTTGAATGACATTGATGACTTAATGCTGAGTATCTTAGCATAATGAGAAGACTGAAGCGAAATAATATAGCCTAATATGAATCCTGAGACTACTCTTGAAACGGCAAAAATATGGTAAGGTGGGGGTGACAAAAGGTTGATAGATTTGGGTGACTTTTTTGCGCTTGCTTACCGGGAGATCAACTGGGCAAAACTCCATCTTGACCTGGAAAAAGTGAAACACCCTAATGTAGCAGCCGTATTTTAACAATTATGAAACAATATTATTCTCATCAAAAGGTTGCCTGTGTATTGTGATCTCATGCTGTTACCATGTAAAGAATCTTAACAGTGATACATGTATGTAAAAATTTGAACGTGAATAGCTTGCATTATATTGCCAGCACCATTTTTGATACTTTTTGGACACTCTGTACTACATGTGTATGTCATCTTTCAGGTGAAGTCCACAAGCAGTATGGCACTTGTTAGTCTAAGGCGATGCCTCGGTGCAGTGTTGAAGAATGGAGCCGCTATGGTACAAACAAGGTCATACTCAGCTGCAAGTGGCTACCTAAAAGTAACCACTGAGAATGATATTGGTAAACATGATGCCACAAGGCTTTTTATTAGTTTATCAATTCTGTTGCAGTTTACCATTCTATATTTATTATTTATTTTATTTATTTATTTATTTATTTATTATTTAGACGTACACTTTTAAATCAGTGGCACACTAAAAATATTTAGGTGCGTCTACAGTCAAAATACATACATATATAAGACACTAGTGAACATTTTTTAACCTTCAACCAATACCTTTCAAATTCATCATATTTTGTTACATGTATGTTGAATTCCAGTGATATGAAGACAGCCTAGTAATTTGTTTTGATTTCTTAAAATATACAGTATTGTAAAGGTGGTCTAGTTTTTATATCACAATAAGAAGTGGTGACATCTTTTTATAGTCTTTAACTTTTGGTGGATGTTGGCTGGTGTTCAGTGTTCGGCATCTGTAACAAATGTCAGGTTTTATTGCATGTTAATGATTGTTATACTTCAATGACTGATGTCTAAACTGTCTCTAACTGTCCATCAGAATACCAATAATCCAAGTCAAGAAGCTAGAATTTAGCTAGAATATGTAGTATGTTGGTGTACATTTTCTATGTTTCTATCTAACTCTTCAACTCAGGATGGGGGACAGTAATCTTGTTAAATCTTGTATCTTTTAGCCACCATAGCCATGGACAAGAAGCCTGTTAACAGTTTAAACCTAGAGTTCCTCACAGAACTAAGCTTAACCCTCGAGAAGCTAGAAAATGAAAAGTGCAAAGGTCTCATACTGACATCCGTAAGTTTTTGGACATCATGATGTTGACATCTTAGTAATATTATTTTACATTGAATATTGATGTACATCAAAGGTCTAATGGTAACTAGTCAACTCAACACCAAGTCAACTCAACCCAAGTCAACTCAACCCTTAGTCAAGTCGACCCCAAGTCAAGTCGACCCTTAGTCAAGTCGAACCCAAGTCATCTCGACCCTTAGTCAACTCAACCCCAAGTCATCTTAACCCTTGGTCATCTCAACCCTTAGTCAACTCAACCCCACCATAAAAAAACAAATAGATATACTATTTTCATGGTACGATATTGATGAATTTTGAAAGAATGAGGGACTAAAATACTAATTTTCCAAAGTAATATTGAAGTTTGTGCTTAACGCATTTATAATTTTTATAATATGACATTATATTATTTACCAAAATAATATTTGATTAATCTTAATAGGGCCATTCAGGATGCTATACATATATTTCACCCCTTCATATTTGAGCTTGTCTTATCTCTCTGAAATAAAAAAAATATCTATACACTTTTCTGTTATACCGAAATTGTTGCAACAGTATTTTTGACAATAGGTAACTTATGCAACATGTGCATTGTGCCAACATCCATCCATTACTTTGTATTGAATGATGTTATATTTTGATAATGATAATAAACAATAAACAATATGATATAGTTCAGATCTTCCTTCTGATCTATAGGCGATAGAAATGTTTATTTTTTGAAGCTAGATTTTAAAGCAAGACTGAACAAACAATGGGATTTATGATTTTACAATTTCCATTATCGTACCCATGTCAGGTGTCATAAATAACAATATTAGGATTTTATAACTGATCCAGTTCAAATCTTCCTTCTGATCTACAGCTGGCGATAGAAATGTTTATTTTTTGAAGTAAGATTTTAAAACAAGACTAAACAAACATGGGATTTATGTTTTTCTATTTTCCATTATCTTACTCATATGTCAGGTGTCATAAACAATCAGATTGGGATTTTATGATTCAGTTCAAATCTTCGTTTTGATCTATAGGTGACAGAAATGTTTTTTTCTTTGAAGTTTGATTTCAAATCAAACTGCACAAACAATGGGATTATATTGTATTTTAATCTACTTAAAACAAGTAAAATCATTTGGGTCGACTTGACTAAGGGTTGAGTTGACCAAGGGTTGAGATGACTTGGGGTCGAGTTGACTAAGGGTCGAGATGACTTGGGGTCGACTTGACTAAGGGTCGACTTGACTTGGGGTCGACTTGACTAAGGGTTGAGTTGACTTGGGTTGAGTCGACTTGGGGTTGAGTTGACTAGGAAGCGGTCTAATAGGTGGCCATTTTGGATTTTCCATCCAAAAATCTTGTCTGTCACGGCTTGTCTATAGGTTTCCACCCAAACCATTTCAAGGAGTCATCTGAAATTTTAGAAATGTTTCAACATATGAAAGTTTAGAACTGATTAGTTTTTGCCAGGCAACCTGGGTAAATGTAAGGTGGCCATTTCAGATTCTCTGTCCCAACTATTACGGGGTGCAATTCTGTTCACTCTGTGTCTTGTTAAATGTTACCTACCGGGTCCTCAAGAACTTGAAATTTGCAAATCATGACTAATCTGCTTCATTCGATAAACTGTATGATGATTTTGTATCAAAAATTAAAAAAGTTATAGCATTTTGAAAAAAAAGTGGCGTTTTTTTTTGGCCCACCCTGTACATGTACCTATAATAACACATTAAACTAGTTAAAATATTTGTGTATAAATTGAATTCCAGGCTCTCCCAAAAATCTTTTCTGCAGGCTTAGATATTCTTGAGATGTATCAGCCCAAGGAGGAAAGACTGAGACAATTCTGGAGTACATTGCAAGATGTCTGGCTGAGACTTTATGGCTCACCACTAGTTACAATTGCTGCCATATCAGTAAGTCACCTGTATGGAATATGGCTCTTGATCATAGTACATGTACATCAGTATGTAATAATGGTACTCTCATAGAGTACACACATGTACATTTAACCATGGTCAATATGACATTAGGAGTATAAAGCAGTTTGATAAGAGTGATATTCATATACTGTATGCTAAATAGCTGATATCTCCAAACTTCCCATATGTAATATCTGTTTAAGTACCTGTACTGTATATGATGGTAATGGTACAAGAAGCACAAAATGAAACAGTGCACTTGAACAGTATACCTTAACAAAACAAACCATTTACATTTATAACCATACTCTACAGGTTCAGTAGAACCTGTGTAAGTGGAACAGCCTCCGTTCTGCCAAAAAGCGTTCCACTTAGGAGGTGTTCCACTTACGGAGGTTTGGGTTCGCGGGGATTTAAGAACATTCAAGATAAAATATAGGGTTTATATGTATCACTGGAAATATGATTCTCCATTCATTGCAGGGCAGCTATATACCATTAATTATCCATTTGTTTTACTCAAAAAGGTATCTGACATTTTTAATCCTCCCTATTCTGCCAAAAATGTTTTCTGACATTCTTAATCCTCCTCATTCTGCCAAAAATGTTTTCTGACATTCTTAATCCTCCTCATTCTGCCAAAAATGTTTTCTGTTTTTTACTCCTCCTCATTCTGTCAGTGTCAGGCACAAAGATTTGGCAATTAAGTTTTGAAGACTAGTTCCTCCTGCTTATAATTCATTTGTTTTTAACCTGGCAACATTCTTAATCTTACTTATCAAGTCAACAAAGAGCAAGGGGTATTAATTAGTAGTTGAATCACATGTCCATCTCTACAGGAGGTTAATACAATTTGATGAATGCTAATCTTATGAAATCCTAATTTACTGTTTATCAAATTAATTAGTGGTAGCATCACATGTTGATCTCTACAGGAGGTTAATCCAATTTGCTATATGGTAATCCATTAAAATTCTAATTTGCCAATTATCATCTTATTACCTGTTTTCATACCCAGAAATCACTGTAGGCGGTTAATTCTGTTTACATAAGTATCAATATTGAATTTATGGAAAATTGACTGTACCACTTAGCAGGTTAAATTCTCAATATGGGGTGTTCACTGTTCAAGTTTGGAGGTGTTCCACTTACAGAGGTTTATTTAACATTAAGTCAATGGGTTTCTAAAACGGAACTTTGAAAAAGTGTTCCACTTGCGAGGTGTTCCACTTATAGAGGTGTTCCACTTAGCAGGTTCTACTGTATGTTTGTTAAATGCTGCAATAATACAAAGTAATTTCTTCACTAGGGCCACAGTCCAGCTGGTGGTTGTCTCCTATCTTTGTCTTGTGACTACAGAATTATGGCCGACAATTACACCATCGGCCTTAATGAAACCAAATTAGTAAGTATAGTATTGTAAAATATACAGTTGACCTACCCAGAGGTGGAGGTTTTATACTTCCAAAAAAGAAACCAAGAATTGATTATTCAGATTGAATTGACAAGTCTATCTGAAGAAACAACTTCATGACAATGTGAATAGTGATCTTATTGTCTTAGGGCTATCACTTATTTTTGAGCAATTCCGATAGGGGTCTTTAAATTAGAATTTGTACTTTTTGCTTTTGATGAACCTCAAGAAAGAATTTAACTCTGAAATTCATCAAAGTATAAATCATTAAGTGCTACTATCTGTAATTCTCATCCTAAAAAATAAATAAATTTTCTTCTAAAATGTACCAAACTTTTACTGAGCATAGTTCAGTCACTTATTTATCTGATGTAAAGTTTATAGGTGAAAACCTCAAAGTTAATGCATTAAACTAGTCGATATTTGATATGACCCCTCTTCTCCTGACTTACAAGTTGAAGCCTGGGGCTCAGATTTGTAAATATTCAATTAGTTTACTGTTTGTTTGTTTTGTCCAAGCCATCTTAATTAAAAATTTCTGCTTGATCAAACTTCCTATTTGTTTGTCTTGGAAGATCAAATCTAGTAACATATTCAACACTTTTTTCCCAAATTCATGAGTATCAAGCATATTTTGATGGCTATTGTTGGGTGTATTACTGATTGAATATTCTCCAGAAAGAGGCCAGGGCAGTCTGATTTGACTGGTAAATGAAGTCCCTTCCCCTTTAGGTATGAGGTTCCATATCCATCCGCCAAAAGGTATGACCCCTATATAGTCCATTTAAAAACTTGTGGTTTTGTTCTAAATAACGCCATAGTTGGCTTCTAGGGTACCTAGTATGCCACTATTTGGTATCAAAATAAAGAGGAGGAGTTCAACTTTTATTTGAATTACGAAAATAGCGATGTAGGTCAAAATAGTTCCGACGTGATCATGTTTACTACGCGTTTGGCCGGTCATCTCAGAATTGAGGCGATGATAGCAAACGCGAGTTACAATAAATAGACGCTGATGTCTCAAAAAGTAACCTGACTCCCTATAATTTGATGTAGATCAATCGAACCCCTGTATGAACAGGTACATTTTGATATATAACACTATGGTGGGTAAGCGTTTTATAGTTGATCACGAACGCCATATGTGCCGGGTATTGTTCTGAATTTTCGAATTTGGTGTTGGACTACGGTACTCATACCTTTATTGTTCTGATATGAATAATATTCATTGGAAATATCAATATGTCTATCAATATCATAGAGAGAACACAAATGGTATATTATATATATATTATACACTGTATATGTGCTTAGCGTTGGTTTTTAATGTGAATAACTGGTCAGTTTTGCCTTTACTGAAAAGTGGGAACAATTCTTTTGTCACTTAAGTAGCTGTGAGGGTTATGCAATTGCTTACCTCTGACATGTTCATTCTTCCCTACTCTTAAATGAAAATGATCATTTTGGGTATTGTTTAAGTTTAAGTTAACACAATATTTTTCTGGCAAACCCCAGATGTAAATACCTTTTGTCAACTGAATATGATTTTATAAAATATTTATAGCAAGTAACATGTACATTAAAGCTTTGAAATAAATAATACTTGAAAAAGTAGCCGCGGAATTGACAAGTGTATATTTAAGAAAGGGGGGTCCTATCAAATATCGACTAGTTTAATGCATTGACTTTGTGATTTTCACCTATAAACTTTACATCAGATAAATAAGTGATTGAACTATGCTCAGTAAAAGTTTGGTACATTTTAGAAGAAAAATAAAGGTTTTGCGTTCAATTAACAAATGTTCCAATTTTTTTTGGACCACCCTGTATATAAACTTACACACGAACCTTGAAAAAACCCTCACTTAGCAAGTAGTACAAGTTCCAAACAAATCTCTTTTTATTGGATTTTAAAAACCAACAAATTCAATCTGAATCTCTACATGTAACTGAACAGTATATTGGAGCTTGAATCTTTTAGGGTTATTTAAGATGAGATTTGCTGCTACCAGGTATATAAGCCTATTACCTTGTATATTTTCTTTTACAGGGTATTGTTGCTCCATTCTGGTGAGTTCATTTTACAGAATATATTTCTTAATGTACTTGTAGTTTTCTTTTAAGAATAGTCACAGTCTCATAAATGCTGAGACTGAAATGACAACATTGTAGTTTGTATACCCTGTATTGAATCTATTCAACCCCTCATTGATTGAAAATTAATATACTGTTCATGTCAGTATTGAAACATTGTTTCTTTTCACGTTAGATTATGGTTTGGGATATATAGGGTCTACTTTTCCTATGACAGATTTACACTTACAGTTTGCTTTTCTTGTTGGGTTTCTTTAAAGTTTTAAGTCACCCTTCCCTTTGGCATTTGTGCTTATATATTCATTGTTTGAATCACAGCAAAAGAAGTTTGAAAGAAGTGGAATTCTATTCAATATAATAGACAGTTTTCGGGACAGAAAATTCAAATTGGCCGCCCTAACATTTACCCAGACTGCCCAAAAACTAATCAGTTCTAAACTTTTATATGTAGAAACATCCCTAAAAATTTCAGATGAATCCATGAAACAGTTTAGCTTGAAAACTGTAGACAAGCCTCGTCAGACGAAATTTGTGTTGTATGTCGTATAACAATATACGCAAAGTGATTTTGCTATGACAGAAATCTATTTTTCAGGTTTGTTGACACTATGCACAATGTGGTTGGTCACAGACAGACTGAAATGGCTCTCCAGCTTGGGACAATGTTTAGTTCTCAAGAGGCATTGTCCATTGGGCTAGTGGATCGAGTAGTTGGAGAAGGGGAAACTGTAGATGCTGCCAAAAAGGAAATGTCACAATGGGTCAAAATTCCAGGTACTATAGTATTTCATTTCTGTATGTTTATACTTAGATAGTTTAAGAAATATTAATTGTTTGGATCAGTGGATTGTATTCTTACCCATGAAGTTTACTAAGTAACACAGAATAATAATGCAAAAATACATACTATCACCAAGGGTTTACATGTATATTACTGAGCTATGAATGTGTATTGGTATTGGAGTGACATCATTGAATTTCACAAATATAAATAAAATTGGAAAAGTATGTTGAAAAATGAATAAGAAATACATACAATCATTATATTAAATAAGATTGATATTAAGAGTTGAATTCTTTTTCTAGGCTATGCTCGTCAGCTATCAAAGATGCAGCTTCGGAAACCCACAATTGACAAACTTGTTGCTAGAAAAGAAGATGACATTAATTATTTTGCAACATTCATTACAAAAGATGGCGTCCAAAAAGCAATGGGGATGTATCTTGAAAGTTTAAAGAAGAAGTAATTCTCGGAAAATCAACAGTGAAGAAATCAACAGAAATCAACTCAATAGTAACATGATATAATGACATAGAGGTATTTTTTATATAATGTAACAAGCTATCAATGATGTACACCATGAAATACAAAAATCAGTACCATTTCATGACATGCCCGGGTAGCATTTATGTTGACATTAATTAATCATTTATTGTATGTCACACTAACCCTAAAACGGTTAGGCGATAGAGAATTACACCAACGGTTAGGGAGGGGGTAGATCTGCCCCCCCCCCTATGATCTCAGAAACCGACAATCACAGGAGGATGTATAATCTATCATTGGAAAGGTTATTCGATTCCCAGTATTTTGAGCCTACTTATATTCTATATTGAGCCATTTTTAATGGAGAAATTCATATTCTAAGAACTTAGGGCTTTTTCATTTCAAGTCAAAAAAGTGACAACCTTGACCAGCTCTAACTTTGCTCCTAGGGGGGTTAGAGTCACACATTTTTCGCTGAAACATGCCTAATTCAATTATAAGAAAAGCCAGAAAGTTTCAGGTCAAAGGATAAACTACAAAAAAGTTACCAAAAAATTCCTTAGGGGGGGCAGATCTACCCCCCCCCACCTTAACCGTTTAAGGGTTAAAGACTCCAATGTAAAGTTTATATCACTTACGAGTGTCTTATCCGATGTGATCAAAATGTGGTATGAGGAACTTTTCATTTAATTTTCAAAAGTCGACGTTGGAGGACTTTTTGTTCGAAAACTTGTGACTTTATTTCAAATTAAATTTTGGTTGTCACACACACATCCTTTAGGAATAATTTACACCAATTCATAGCAAACATTTGTGATGCAAAATTCAGAAAATAGGTTGAAAAGTAAGCATAATACAATGTGTTTAAGAGTGCTAAGTGTTGTATTTTATTTGATGATCTAAGAAAGATTCTTTCAAAAATGACTGGAAATTCAAATATTTGAAAAACTATATTCAAAAGTCACATTTTTCAAAAGACACATTTTCAAATATTTCAATGATTGTACTATATTTTATGTCACAGCCACAAGCATGATAAGTGGTGACTTGTTATAATCTCCAACTTTTTATGCTTGGTGTTCGGGGATTGGTGGTCACAGTCAGCATCTGTAACAATGGCAGGTGGTGCTATTTTGCATGTCAATGCCTGTTTAACTTTTCACAGGGCCTATAAGGGACTGCATGGAATGTTGAATGCTACATAATTTATATGCTCAAATTGTCAGATAGTCAATAACCATAGAGCCATCACTAAAATGCATTGATATAATATAATAACAGTTGTTTTGTGTAATATTAATTCATGAATTATTTCGTTGTTCTACTTAGATATTGACTTAGTACTTCATTGTACTGTATTTTGTATCAACATAAATCAATGACATGTCAGGGAAATCAACCTCAAATACTTTATTGGTCACCAAAGCTTTAATTGAGTGCTATGAGTATGGCATGCAATCAAATTATCCTATAATTCCAAGGTATTGTCTCTTACATGTGCATGTTCATATTTGTCACGGGGTTGTACAATAATTAGTTATGTTCTATTTTATTTTTACAAATATATTATGGTTAGATGAAACAATTTTTCTTGTTTGATTTTTAGGTCAAAGAATAAGTGGTGAATAATTTTCAAACAAAGTTTTTTCCAAAAGTCGTCATAATTATAAAAAAGACATTTTGCCGCAACTTAATATCCAATGTGTTGGTTATTGTACTGTTTAGCTTTGCACTTTTTAAAAAATGTCAGCCTTATTTCCTCAACTTAAACATATCAAAAGTTTCTTTTATTATGTCCCCACCACATAGTGTGGGGCCATATTGTCGGCCTAGGCGCGTCCGTCTGTCCGTCCGTACGTCCGTCCGTCCGTCTGTCCGTCTGTCCGTACGTCCGGGAGTTTTCTCCAAAACCGCTACAGATATCACCTTCAAATTTTCAGGGATAACTTATGAGTGCATTCAGATGTGGATGAAAAAATTTTAACTCGATACCTACTTCCTGTCGGCCATTTTGAAGTCAAATGCTAAAATCCTTGTCTGCAAACTTTAAGAAAAACGGCTTCACAGTTGCTTTTAAAACTTTAACATCTTGTTCAGCTCACTTCATTCTAGATCTGATTAGGTTTTGGACCTGTTAGCTCAGTCATGTCAGCCATTTTGAATGTCTTAAGAAAAGTTAGCGCACGATAATACTTTGTATCATATTGAATGGTGTTTTTGAGTTTTCATACTTTAACTATTTAGTAGCTTTATAAATAATTTCAGATCTACTTTGTTGTAAAAGCCTATGTTATTGTTAAAAGTAGTAATATGTGATAATTTTGTAAGAAGAAATCAGCAAAAACACATAATCACTTTTTTATTGTCGGCCATTTTGGATTTTTCCGTCCTAAAATCTTGTCTGTGAAGTCTTGTCTACGTGTTTTCAGGTGAACCGTTTGGTGGATCAATTTCAAATTTTCAGGGATGATTCTTAGTATAAAAATCTAGATCTGATTTGTTTTTTGGCATTCTGGGTAAATGTCAAGGCAGCCATTTTGGATTTTCCATCCTAAAATCTTGTCTGTAAAGTCTTGTCTACGCGTTTTCAGGTGAACCGTTTGGTAGATCAATTTCAAATTTTCAGAGATGATTCTTAGTATGGAAATGTAGAACTGATTAGTTTTTTGGCATTCTGGGCAAATGTCAAGGCAGCCATTTTGGATTTTCTGTCCTAAAATCTTGTCTGTAAAGTCTTGTCTATGCATTTCCAGGTGAACCGTTCTGTAGATCAATTTCAAATTTTTAGGGATGATTCTTAGTATGAAAATCTAGATCTGATTAGTTTTTTGGCATTCTGTGTAAATGTCATGGCAGCCATTTTGGATTTTCTGTCCTAAAATCTTGTCTGTAAAGTCTTGTCTACGCGTTTTCAGGTGAACCATTTGGTAGATCAATGTCATATTTTCAGGGATGATTCTTAGTATGAAAATCTAGGAACAGATTAGTTTTTTGACATTCTGGGTAAATGTCAAGGCAGCCATTTTGGATTTTCCATCCTAAAATCTTGTCTGTAAAGTCTTGTTTACATGTTTTCTAGTTAACTGTGTGACGGATCAATTAAAATTGTGTTGGTAAGTCTTGTCTACTCATTTTCAGGATAACCATTTCATGGGATCACCCATTGGTGGGGACATTTTGTACACATTTGTGTTCTTGTTTATTATTGATATTAACAATTCCTGAAAAGGGGTGGTGTTTAAAATGCGCTAAAGTTAAAAAACACACATCACATGTTATTTTCCCATAACAAAATTAGTACATACACGAATGCTTTTATGTTTCCAATATTATAAGTTCTTACACGTTTCAGCATGTGCCGGGAAATATTCCACGAAAGTAAAAATTGTATCACCACGAAAGCGCAGCTTGAGTGATGATACTTTTCTACTGAGAGGAATATTTCCCGTATCACATCCGCTGAAACGTGTGATGACGATTTTATCACATACTATGTAGAAGTCTAGTGAAATACTAATTGAATGCAAAGAATAGAATGAAGTTGTATTACGTCATTTCCATACACAACGTGTGGTATGTGTGCTCGTATCATGAAATTTATGTGATACGGGAAATACGTCATAGAGAGCAAACAATCAAATCACTAGATTTCTACATAGTATGTGATAAAGAATGATACATGATTTTATTCCATGATGGTGAAATTCCTTGCAATCTGATTGGTGCACGTGACTTAAATATATCCTGTATTTACACGCACATTCCACTAAGCGTTGGATACAGAGTGAAAAAGACGTCAGCGTTGGGATACGGTCTAGTATCCCAACCCCCCAGATTTCCATCCAGGATATGACTATTACTGAAAAAAATCAATGGTGATCAGTTTACACCAACGCATGCTAATATTTGCATTTTGCTAGAAAAATCTGATTTGAATGTCAGGAAATGATACGGTGATCATCACAATTTATAATTTTAGGATAAAAAACACTCATCTGTGAATATAAAAAGATCAATATGAAGCATGCAAATTGTTTCCATGAACTAGTAAAAAAAATTTAAAATCCAATATGGCAGACGAGTCGAAAAAAACGTTTCGCTACACTGCACTTCTATCTAAGTTTCTCAAAGTTCGAGACTACAAATCCAAATCAATATTTTTGTTTGAAAGTCAGGATATACATTCCTCTGAAGATTCCACACTGTGTGAGCACAGGACCGTGGGTCCTTTATTATCCTGGAACGAACGAAGTTCGGTAGGGATATAGTAAAGCCCTCCGTCCGTCAGTCCGTCCGTCCGGAAGATACCTCGAATACTAGTTGACGGATTTTCTCTTCGGAATTATTTTCAAAAATCTCATGTTTTCATTTTAAACCAAAATGGCCGCCTAATGCGGGATTTCGCAATAATTTTCTGATGTCTTAGAAGTGTGCCTATATTATACTCAAATTGAAGGAATTTTAGAGTAGATCGCAAATATGGTATCGTTTTTTCTGATTTGTGCCTCGGTAATCCAAGATGGCTGCTTAAAGCAGGAATTCGCCATTACTTGAGATATCCTTAAGTATGGTTACATGATACTATATACAATGATCTCAAGTGTTTATTGAAGGGAAGAGTAGGTGGCAAATATCACATTGTGACTGTACAGATTCATGATTTATTTAGTGTTCGTTGGGATTTGCCACTCCGTGGAGTTGCCGATTTCTAGTTAAGAAAAGTACTGCTCAGTCCGTGCATTTATCAAAAAATTTAATTCACAGCAGAATCATCTTCATGCATATATCAATATATAAATTAAAACACTGAAATGCTTTAAGCTGATTAATTGGCTGAGACACGCTTGGCATGTTTGAATAGTAAATCGAGAGAGTTTGTATTAATGTTTTTGAAGTGAATGTCAATTTTGGTTGATCACGAAATAATAGAAATTACACTTACAATCGTACATGTATGCTTTATTTTTGATAACAAATAAATGTGATATAGATGTACAGATTAAGGCCACTTTTTACTTATGCAATTATTTTCAGGGTTAAACCACTGGCTGATTTTCTTGTGCGTTTTCACTTCACCCTCTCTTGCAGAATTTAGTTTGTCACATAATGTTTCCCAATGTTTATAAGTAAGAAATTGTGCTCTCACAAATGTTTTGTAGTCTTTTTTCCACTTAAAATATTCATTGTATTCAGTTGAGTTACCATCTAGGATTTTGAGATACTCTGCCAAGTGGGCCGGTGATTTAAAGTCATCTACATGAATAACTGAGTTAGGCGGTACTTGGTCCAAATAATCCTTTTTAGGTGGCCCCATAACAACTGGCACCACTTCATTTTGAAATGCATTCGACCAAAGTTTTTCTGTAATGTATCCATTGCAATTGTTATTTTCAAATGCAAGGTAGAATTTATACTTTTGGATCTCTTTACACGTACGAACATATCGTCCAGGACAGGTAAAATTGCCGCATGCTCCATAAACATCTACAGGTATATGTTTCATTAAACGCTTAACATATCCCATTCTATCATTATGTGACGAAGGGTTGCATGAACTTATCATCGCTGCCACGATCGATTTCTTTTTGTCATTTTTATGTCTTTCTGCAAAATTATCAACTTGAACAGATGAAGTCCGTTTCTCTTTCCACCCATATGGTATAGGAACATCAGAATCCATTTTGTATGTCATAGTCCAATTGAATATACCATCCAACTGCTCCAATTTCCATCGCTTTGTAACGCGTATGTGGTATGGATGGTCATCATGCATCATTACCCATCTTTGCCATGGGGATCTATGGTTTGGTAGATCAGTAATTGACCTTAGATTTAATGTCGAAATAACAATAGCATCACTAGAATTGAGTTGTGTCCTATTTGACGTTATTTTACAGTTTTTCACTTTCCAGTTTGCAGTTTTTAATCCCCCGATTGTTATGTTCTGATATGCTACCCATTGGAGAATTAAAAATTCTTTCTTGCTTGTAACATAGCTAGGTCTACTACTTAGATTAGCAGTCGTCTCATTGATGGGATTGGGAACATCTTCTTGAATCATATCACCACGTACATCCTGTAACTCCGGGCCTCCTCCCCTCACTGTAAGTTTATTGATGTGCGTTTGTACCTTAAGTGCGATGTCTTTATAAAAGCGTGCTCTTTTGATTCCAATATTTTCTGTAATTTTTCCAACGGTACTGAAGAAATAGTAAAACACTATTACGGAAGTGAACGAGCCAATAAAGTAAATAAAATTCCTTCGTGGTCCTAGAAGCGCCATCATTCTGGACTAGTAAAGTATGATTATTTGCAAGCATACATCCAATGCTTTACAACCTTTGCTGTGAATTCATTGTACATGACTACACAGTACACTGGCGAACAGATTATACAACGGTGCTTCTCGGTTTATTGTCATGTGCAACGAAACCGTGCTGTATTACTCGATCGTTTCTTTTGTGTCTATGTATACGGGAAATGGCAGTGTTCCGTTTAATATGTATGTTTCAGAAATCCAATAGGCCTACAATAGTTTATTCACAATCCTAATTTTTAGAATCAATGAAATTATGCAATCAAGTATACAACTGTTTGGACATAACGCCTTAAATAAATAATTATGCATTTGTATATTGAAATAAGTCCACTGTACACTCTACCTTGGTAGTGAAGCTCGTCTACTCTCTCAGTTTGGTTTTGGAAATATTTCTATGTAAGGTCCTCCGAAACACCCGAGCTGAACTTGTGTTTTGCCTAGATCAGTGTTAAAATCTACCCGAATTTTAGAAAAGTCCCCGGGAATAACCTACTTGCTCAAGTTTTGAGTTCACGAGTTAAGGTGACTGTTAACTTAATCGATTTTCAGAAAAAATTGAAAATTTCACAATCTTGAAATTTTCAAACTCTTCCTGAGAAGTCGTTTTTTTATTTCACATATGCTTGTGCACTGTAATCATTATAAAGACATCAAAGAACAACAAAAAACTTTAGTTTGAGAAAAAAAAGTGCCGTTTAAAGAATTTGAGAAGATTTTTTTTCTAAGAGTAGCCCGTGAAAAACCGCTGATTCAAAATATCTTAAAATTTCAGAAAATATACTTCAAACATATATCAAAAACGAAGGAGCAACGGAAATTTGAAAAATTACCGGATAAAAAAATTGGGATCAAAATAAGGAAAAAAGTACACTTCTCAAATTTTTTTTATATTTTTTTTAATTTGTATGAGAGATTTCAAAATTCTAAAGCTCCTTCCATTTTGGACTATATTAAAGGGATGTTTCAGAGAAATTAGAAAGAAAAATGTTCAGGGACCTTTGCCGTGCTACTCTTTTTGTCAATTTTTCTGTCACATTTTCAGAGGACTCAAATTCCCATTCCAAAATGTTTACTGTTTCTATTTGCATTATCACAGTGAGCCTGGTTATATAAATGATAAGTGGAACTAAAAAATTGAGAGAAAATCCAACCAAAAGACAGTTAATTTTGATGGTCAGATTATACTCAAATGCCATGTGCTTCCTGGTTTCGGCCATCTTGGATTTTTTGATTAAGTTATAAGTAACCTTAAAAAACCGTCAAAAACGTCAATTTAGTTAAGCTATATATTACTTATCCTTGCCTATTTAATTTTTGCCAGTTATAATTTTTGTTCGTTTTTCGAATGGTTTACGGGGGTAAATGCAACTATAAATTGTTACGATATTTATTGACCCTTGATTTTACGCACATTTATAACTTTATTAGCCTTCCGTTGCCAAGTGGTACTTCAAGTCATGACAGCTTGTTTGTTTTCTTCATTTGTCACGATGGTTACTCTAAATCATCATAGTTTACGTACAGTATGATTAAGATTCGAATTGAATTTATTTTCTGTTTCGATTGTTACTGTATGTTGTATGTATTCTTGTCAGCTAATAAGCATGGAGCCATTAACGCTCTTAAGCATTCATGTTGTCGCGCATGTTGTAAAACATTTTATTTGTAATTGTAATTTATGTGTTCATATTTTCTAATAGCGTGTAAACCAATGCGCCTGTAGCACATTTTTATGAATGTCTTTACCCCGCATAGAAGTCGAACGATTAACGTTCTCGATGGTAAGCCATGCATGCCTGCTAGGTCTGACTGCATGTTCCAACGTTTTCGTTCACTGGAACAAGTGCATTAGTTGCCATATCTACTGTTACATATGTTGAATCCATTTATTACCATTGCCTTATTATCCAGTCAAATCTTCTTAACAATAAAAACTCAAGTATGATCTTAAAGAATTACTACTTTGCCAATGACTGCATGTATTCAAACTGTTGTAGTTGCAACTCCTACTAATTCCTATAATACGGCCATCGTCCTTATATGGTGATTGGCAATAATTAACTTACGTGTATCCAAACGTCATGTAAAAGTTTAAACGCACCTGCTGCCTAGGGCTTTGTATAAAAAACCTCCTACCTCATACCCACCTACGTACGTGGGATATGATACAGTCTTTGAAAGGTTCAATTTTAAAGATCTTAGTTTATTAAATCTTAGTTTATGATGAATTATAGATGCATTTGTAAGGACCCTTGATAGCAAGTTGCTACTAAATCCCAGCTGGGTTCGATTCCCACTCGGGGCATCGAATTTAGCACACTTTCTTTCAATTTCTTTATCTGGCTTGTTAGACCTATGCTCGCGGTCGCTAGTTATCTATTCCCCTGGGGCGCCCTCGGGTCGTTACACATTAAAATGCATCCATATGCCTTTACTTATGGATCTGTCATCTGTCTAGTCAAAAATAAAGCCGGAATTGTAGAAATGTTAATAATTTGAGCTATTTTGAGATTTAATAATCTTTAAAATTGAACCCTTCAATGACTGTATCATGTTCCACCTAGGTGGGTATGAGGTAGGAGGTTTTTTATACAAAGCCGCTGCCTCGTCTTAAATACATTTTCATGGCGAGTATTGCCTAGTCTTGCCAAGTCTCTGTACACCCCTCTATATCTACCTCCCCTGTGCTCTTCACCTTCCCAACACATGATGTGATTTCTTGGGAAGGACGATGAAGTGCACGGGGTACACTGTCTAATGCCTGGGTCACATTTGCTCCAATACATCGTCCGGCGCCCGGCCGATTGAGTGTTTTGTTCAACATTGTATTCAATTTTGAACAAAATACTCAATCGGCCGGGCGCCATAGTGAAAATCGATGCAAATGTGACCAAGGCATAAGTAAGCTAGCTAGCGATTACGGCCTAATTTTGGGAAGTAAGTCTGCATGTTCGGAATTTTGCTGCATTAACTCAATTGAGTCACATGATGTTTTTCAAATAGGAATCACTCATTCCCTGCATTTTCTACATCTTTCAGATTTGCACTAAGAGTGTATTAAATTGTATTCTTTATTTACCTCTTATATAAAAGAGTTACGATTAAACATACTGAACCTAGAAAATAGATTTGTTTTGGAGGGAAAACCCCATGATTCAATTGATGACATACGATTTCCTCCTTCGCGCACCTCCTTTTGTCGTAAACGTACCCTCCATCTTGGTTTTCAAAGTTTTCAAATTGACCTAGTTTTAAACCAATCAACGATCGACTCGCTAAACCAATCAGCGACGATGTCATCTCAATACAGGTTTACATTATAAGCGTATGTCATCTTTGAACCCTGGGGTTTCTCCCCTCTTATAAAAACGAGAAAGTTCAATGACAGAAGGTCACTCCGCTCCGAGCGGGCAGATATAGTATACGGCATAATCGCCGCTCGCATATATAAGGGTTATGTACTGGGAGGTTTTGGATACAGGGTTTATCCCAAGGGAAATATGTGTATCTCACGAGGGACCGCAGGATAAACACTGTATCCAAAACCGACCGTACATAACTGGTGTATCTCATACTTGAGTGGGTTTGGGGTAGATATAACCTTTTCCACCATTTCAAATGACAAGATAGGCCTATACTGTAAAAGCACAATTTATATTTAACATTTGTATAATATTCCTTCAGCTCAATACAATAGAATTTTAACATTTAAACTTTTTGAAAAATTTTAAACTTCTGAAATTGAAATTTTTAAACTTTTGAAAAAAATCCCGGGAGCGGGATGGATATATTATATCTGCCCGCATTTGGCCTAGAGCGGGACATATACAATATATCCTGCAAGGTCCTCAGATATGATATATATTCCCGGGTGATATCTACCCCAAACCCACTCAAGTATGAAATACTCATTTATACGTTCGCGTAATGACTGTAAACGACAATGGAGAAAACACAGACAATCGGGATCTGTTTGATGGTTTAAAAAGGGAAGGAGCATCCACTTAATCAAAAATTCGAGAAAATAAATATGGGAATATTTGAAAGAACAGGAAAATCCGGCTAGGGCCAAGAAGACAACACTAGACATGAATATTCTAAATTATTATATCACTGTCATAATCCTCACTCTCTTATTGGTCTATGTCCTACACGTGACTAATTCTGCTGTTTACTAGACTTATGCACACGCCCTGTATACAGAGAGCTTTTGCAAGTACATTATTTAAGATGTTCAGTAAAAGAAATTTTGATCTAGAAAGACTTTAACAGTACCTCTATTTGAGATAATTCCATAACAACAAATTATAATGTATATTTTCTCATACTGTATTCTATTTGTTGATATTCAATTATACATAAGTTGCTTGTCTGGGGATAAAGGCCATATGATATTGATTCTGCCACTTTACAGCACTTTTACATACTATTTAGAACTGTGATACTGCCAAAATATATACATGATGCAAACCTGTAGATCCACTGTGATATGGGGGACCCCTCAGGAGGGTATTGGGCCAACCAGAGGGCCCTTATATCACTGATTAAGCAGGGTTTCTCTTTCCATTTGCTCCCAGGAACATCAACCTTGGGGAAGATGTCTCCTCTTAGTAAGTGGAAGTAAACAGTGAACTCAGTATACAAAAATTATGGTCTCTATCACTGTCTTATTGTGCATTTAGTAATTTTCACATGGGAATTTTAATATTACCCACACATGTATCAACTTGGTGTCTCATAAGCCGGCATCGGCTAGAAGCAATGTTTTTTAAAAAAAGTGTTTTAAATGTATTTTAATATTATTGCTTGTGACACAAAAATAAACTATATTAAACTTAAAAACTAAACTAAAAAATAACTAGCGATATTCAACGGAAGTCACGTGACTTCCGGTGAATATCAAATAATATTCAACGGTCATGACTTATACATCACCGGGGTTGACTTAGTCCATAGTAATTTCATTATATATATCCCATAATAATGAAAAACATTCCCAACCCTGTTTCCCACATGGCCAATACTATGAGTATGAATACAATGGTTCCATTTTCATTGACCCATTGCAATGTTACAATTGATTATAATGTCATCATGAAACCTTAAATTAAAATACTACAATTTGGGAGTTGATATTTATTGACTACACAATTTGGTGTTTGATATTTATTGTATTTATTGTTATATTGTTAGAAGAAATATAAATGTATTTCAATGTTAACATATGACTTATTTAGTTAAAGAAGATGTTATGACAGTGATATAATAAAACAAATATTTAATTCTATTTTCGGTGAATACCTGTGACACTTTCACAAGATGATATTCCACTAGCCCTTCGGGCTTCGTGGAATATCACTTGTGAAAGATGCACAGGTATTCACCTCAATAAAATTAAATATTTGTATAATATTTCCACGATTGAACAATATGAACCAGATGACCAAGATTGGTATGGGATAAACATATTATCCTATAGTCGGTTCAGGATATTGGGATTATCCCTTGGCCAATATCATATATTCTCCCCCGGGACCCGCGGCCTTCGGGCAGATATATTATATTTGCCTCGGGATAATACCAATATCCTGAACCTCATATAGGATTATTTCTATATATCCATCGGGTGATCAACATCCTGAACTGGTACATGTATATCCCTTGGAATATATAGTTTTAGATAAAACGAGACTGATAAAGCACAATGAGGATATCCGTCAAAACACGGAAATACCATTAGTTGTCATTAAAAACACGGAAATAATACTAGATTTGAATATTACACGATAGATATCGTTTAACTTTAAATCAAAATAATAATATCTTGTAAAAAAATATAGTATTCAGGGTGATCCAGAAGTAACGTCAAAAATATCGCCCTCTCATTGCCACTGGACTATCCCCGAACGCCGATACAATATTGAGTTCATTTCAAAAAAGTTATTCTTTTTGATTTGAATGCCCATGGTTGATTTCATTTCAAGTTGTATTGTTCACAAGTTAGTTCTGATGTTCTTGCAAATTCGATATAGCGCTACTTGATATAGTAATTCATAGAATATTAGTAATACATGAAATAGTATAATAGATGAACTGCACGTAGTCTGGGGAAATTATTGTAATAGGATAACCAAATAGAATCCATTTTGAGTAAGAACTTGTTGACCTCATGTTTCAGTCTATAATCGATCAGCTCATCAATGTGAGCAATCATAATGTGATTTAGCACCTGTATGACATATGATATACACGTAACATCTATCACTTTTTAATCACCACCATGGTGTAACCAGCATGGTTTGGATCAAATAAAAATTCAGAAATTGAATTACATTTTCCAAGAAACAGCCATACACACAAACACAGGCCATATCAAATAACAATACCAGGTAATGCCATTAACGATTTAGGGTCTAATCCATTCTTCATATATTGTCCAATACCTTTAATCCACCCCATGGAATTCCTTGGGAGCGTTCAAAACCAGCAGTTTTATGTATATCTACAGGGGTGAACAAAATAAACCATTTCTGTTTATTACATGTTTCGAAAGGGGAACAAACATTATCTTCAGAATACGTTCGTGAATGCACTCTTCGCCTAAACTGAGGATATTTGTTTTGTTAAGTAACTTACAAATAGAAAATTCAATAGAGAAGGTGTACCCCACAATGCAATCTATTGATCTGACTTCTTCGTAGCCTCTGTTGATATAAAGAGTCTAAACCAATGTAAACATTATATCGAAAACAACTAAGCGAATACAAGAACACAAAAGCAAATGGAAGTGGACAAAACAACTGGGTTAGAACATGAGTTCCCAACTCCAATTGTGTTGGCTAAACTACAGAGACCTAACTCAAGTAAAGTCTCAAACGCAAGCATTGGGGACCTGGCGGATGTCGAGTCGAGCGAAGCAGGGATCTCGGTAATCATGGACGATACCGGTACCAGTTCTAAATCTAAAGCAGAATTTGACAGCATCAGGGAGCTGATGCTCGCAGAGTTGGAATATGAACGAGTTGATAAATTTGCAAAACAGGTACAATGTTCCCCTTGCATCATTTATTATTTCCAGAACAGATTTAATTTGTTTTGCATATTTCAAAACGTCAATAAACATCGAATACGATTTTTAAACAGTCGCATTTGCCCACAGAATTTAAGGTGAAAGGCCTGGGATGAAAGATGAAATGGTAAAACTCAGGCCCGTAGAAATTCTTTTAAAATCACCGTTTTTTTACCATTCTGAGCACTTTTCGCACTTTCGCACAGAGACGTATAAACATGTCTCTGGTTTAGAATAAATCGTGAATGCTTAATTGTACAATTCAACCATTGTTTATAACAAAGGTTTGTATTATATCCGCGCGTGTAGCCATTGAGTTATTCAGACCTAGAGACATATACAAAAAGGTTAACGTTATTATTATGTCTCTGAATTATTGAATAATAGGTCTGATAGCTGGAGTATACACTGACAATGACTCATTCCTTACTCTAATAATCATACAGTCTGCCCTTACTCAATAATACTCAAATACAGGATGGGCCAAAACAATACAGAAGTTTAAAGATCAATGGTTCAGATGATATATATTTTAGGTGCCATGGAAGTTAACAGGAAATGACAAAACAAAAAGTGACAAAACCATGCTGGATTTTGAAAAAAAATTGAACCAAGATAATAGAGTTCTGTTTGGACCTCCAGACAGTTTAACTAGTTCCACATATCATTTACATGACTGGGAACACAATGGAAATGGTCAGAATGACCATAAACATGATGAAATAACCATTTCAGCCCTCTGAAAATGTGACTGAAAAATAGCTAAGAGTAGGTGCTCATGAAAGGTCACTGAACAGAATCTTTTGACTTTTCAGAAAATGTGCCCAATATATTGCTCTAAATGACATAAAATGATACAATTTAAAAAAATTGATATCATTCTTAGAAAAAGAAAAACTGAATTGAAAATCGATCTATTTTCCTTTTTACCACAGCCATTATTGTTTCAGACAACTTTTAGATTGTATCATTAAAGTTAAGTACATGTGTAAATGTGACATGTAATCACTAAAACCATGTAAAAGCAAGTATAGAGTTCTTAAAACAAGATTCTTAAAATAACTACTCATGGAATATTGTAAATTCTGCTGACCTTGCAGAAAAAATTGCTTAAGGTCACATTACAGCATATTTGTCAAATCTTCATCAGAAAACATCAGACAAACATATTATGCAATAAAACAATGCATATACTAAAAAACAACCCCCCTTGGCTTTCTTCGAGACTAATACCAAGTTTTCCCGGTTAAAGGAGTCGACAAATGTATAGAATTTATCATTTCATGGTCCAGACGGTGTGTTATGTTATGGCCACTTCTCTTTTGATCAGAAAAGGACATGCAGTTGCAAGACATAATGATAAGTGAACGTTCCACCTCACACGAAATGACTGAATGACTGTTTTTCTATCTTTCAGATGCCGACTAGATTACTTCACCAGCCACTGATAGACGTTGTTGACACTCTAACACGAGATTGGAATAACACTGCGTTAAAGATCCGGGCAATTTTCACTTGGCTTGCTACTCAAAATACGGATGATATTGATCCAAAGGATGATAATGGATGGAGGTTAAGTCCTCTGATGTACCTAGCGAGAGTCAAGATGGGATCTGAAAGTTATAGTGAATTGTTTAAAGATATGTGCAGGTTAGTAACTGCAATATTAAGTTGTTGTGTTTTTGCTTTTTACTTTACTGGTTGGTAAGAAGAACCTCCTTTATTTTGCACTAACAGCAATTGATATCAAATGTTTGGTATGACCTGAATATTTTAACATACTTAAGAATACAATACACATCTACGTCGTATATTAATCGTGTACATCATAATGTATACCGTTCATCAATTTTGTTACAGTTTGGCCCATATTAACTGTGAGGTTGTAGAAGGCGATGTTAAAGGTCACAACTACCAACCTGGTGACGTTATGACTACGAAAAACAGACGCTTCTGGAATGTTGTTCAGCTTGGAGATGACTGGAAACTGCTGGATGCGTACATGGCATCGCGACAGTACAAATGGAGGCATATAATTCATCAACACATGGTAGTTTCAATGGACGACAATGAAAATGTCAAACGAGATGAGGACTGCATGAATATTGGGTACTACTTTTTCACGGAAGCTCCAGAATTTATTACCACTCACTTCCCCTATGACTCCAAATGGCAGTTACTGACTCGACAAATCACCGCCTTTGAATTTGAAACACTTGCTTACGTCACCCCTCATTTCTACTTTATGGGGTGGCAACTTATGTCGCATCAAAAATGTGCAATTCACACAGACACTGGTGAAATTGATATCGTTATTCAAACTCCTAGTAATGAGTCCCAGAAGTATTGGATTAACCTTAGTGCAATATCTAGTAATACTGAAAATGTTGAAACTCTAGAAAGACACGTCTTTGTGGACAGAAATAGAACATCTGGAGTTCTCAAATGCTCGATTTCATTACCAAAAAGTGGAGAATATAAATTAAACGTATATGGAAAAACGGAAATGAGTCAACTTGAGCTCTGCGTAGCTTATAAACTTCATAACGATGCCATTGATGCGGACATTAAAGCCCATACACTATGTGTAGCTAATGAACTTCGATTCTGGGGACCATGTTTTGAAACAGACAATCTTAACATAAATCCGCTTGGTAAAGCACAGACCAGCCGCATAAATGAAAAAGACGGATTAGTTCAAATGGAATTCAGTCTTGCCAATGATATGCCTTTAGACTTTACACATGAGCTAATCAGTGCAACAGACACAGGTGAAACAAATATACACCATCAATATTCGGTTCATGAAGTTCGAAAGAACGCTCTCGCAATATTTTACGTACAGCTTCCTTTTTGTGGGAAGTTTGCCTTTCGCATATTCGCAAAGCAGAAACTATCACAGGGCGCACTGCCTTTAATCTGCTGTTATTTGATCTCCTGTGATGACCCAGCCATTTCACATTTACCATTTCCAAAGTTTGCTAACGGTAGGGTTGGTATAACCGATGAGGGAACGCTGTTGGGGACGCAAATACTAGCGTTTGATACACCAATTATATCGAACGAATCAGGTGTGATGGAAATAGAAATCAAAACTAACCCAAATTGTATTATATCGGCATCTATGAAACTTTCCAAAAACCAAAATATGGAAAATGGAATAAAAACTCATAACGCCGTCGATAAAGAGCCAACAATAGAAAATGGAGCTACTGCTCATATCAAAGATTCCAATCATACTAAAATGGACGAGTTTACATTTATTAAATATGTAGATGAAGATGGAGAAAACGGTACTAGACTCAAAGTTGGATTAAGGTGTCCATTGGCGGGCCAATACCATTTGGCTCTGTATGGGTACGAAGATGCACAAACACCAAGGATGAGTATTCCAAACGTGTGTAATTTTGTTATCAACTCAACAACAAACCACCCCGAACTGGCACCATTTCCGAAATGTCTGGCGAGCTGGGGAAAGGACTTTGAGCTACTTTGCCCAACCCATGGGATGTTCTACAAAGATCAAACCATACCAGTGGTACTAAGGGTACCAAATGCTACTGCGGTAGCGTTGTCAGGGCAACGTTGGGTAGATATGGTAAACGTTGTTGGGACTACCGACTTATGGTTAGAACAGATCAGAATAGATGGAGAAGGGGATGTTACCGTATGTGCCAAACTTGGTGACTCTGAAGAATATAAAGGCCTGCTTAAGTTCAAGGTAGGGCCGTGCTCAACACAACCTTGTGTGACATTCTTTCTTACCTTTCGCACTGATTTCATTGCTACAATTTTGTTTCTCCTATTTGGGCATTGTGCTTGACTATTTCTTTCATTTACGGTAACAGGGTTAATGTATCAATGTACGTGTACTGGTATTTCATTTCCTTCGAAGGTGTCTGGCGAACCTGTTGATCATGATGAACAAATATTGGAGAGCATTGGACATGAGTTCGAAAAAGCTAAAGAAATCATCAAAGTAGAACAAAGGGAATACATGGAGCAAAGAGCAACTGAGGCACAAAATGAAATAGAAAATGAACAGGACGTCGAGATAGATACAGAAAAGGTTGAGGAAAACAAGAATGACGAACTAGACGAGTCAGTATGTATAAATCATTTGATTATATCACAAATACCATATCAATTTTATTGCATTAATTTACTCAACAAATGATCACAATACTAATGGTAGAAGACACTACATTTCCACTACGGGTATTATCAATGGTCAAACTGAAAATGAAGCGATATATTTCTGTGTGTAAAATATGCTTATTGTTTAATCAATATCATTACGTTATTAGGTCATGGCTGTTGATGCAATCGTCTTGGGACTAGAGGGGACAAGCATACGACTTCTTGAGGAGGCTATCAGGAGAGTGTTACGATTGAAGGACAGTATAGATAACCACCAGACACTTATCAACAAGGCCAATCTTAGGATAAGATGCTTGACATTAGAAAGAGGTTTTAAAATTATGATGATAAAAATGTATACAAGTGGATCAATGTATGATTTAATGTCGTTGAATCGTCTTAATGTTTGCTTCACATTAAATATAACACAGGCACATGAACGTGAATACATTACCTTTTACATTAAGAAACAAATAATTGAACTCATCTTCAAAGCTGTTTCATTTTTTACAATTTTTCATTCATTAAGATCATGAAAAAGACACTCCGCGTCGAGGGGTTGTCTGAATGATAACTTGACGAGCGACTCTCGATATACAGATTGAGATCTCTCTAAGTGAATTGGCCGGGGTCTTGTTGATAAAATACCTGGCGACTGTCGATGTGTAAAATGAACTAACTTTAACTTAATGTTTTAGAACTTCTGCTAGCAATGAGAAGAAGACAACTTGGTGATCTGGAAAGTCTGCTAGAGACAATTGAGAAGGAAGGACATCATAAAGATATAACTGAATATCCAAGAGCGCATCATCTACTTGGTCAGCTAAAACGGATCAAGGTGTACCAGCATGCCGTGTTGGACTTAGATGCAAAGACGATGTCGGAACTAAGAGGATATCGAACGCCACACACAGGCGTACACAATGTGATGATCGCAAGCCTGCTACTGTTGAGGAGCCACGAAGGAGAGTCTAAGGTCTGTTAAAGTTTTTTATCACTTTCATGTTATGTTATGTTATATTATGGAAATCTTGCCATCTTTTACACGACTCTATACGCCTGTACGCTAGCGTGTTAAGTTGAAACTAGCAAAGTCTTGTCAGGTTATAGAAGATGGCAGAACAAAGATAATGTAATACTATATTTGAAGGCCAAAGTAAGACACACATTTGACACTGCACGTGATTACCAAGAGGGAAACCTTCCAAACCAATTCAAAAGTTGTGCCACCACTAATCACCAATTATTCATCTTAGTTTATACCTACCTATTGTTTTCTGTACTCAGGTATGGAACAACTGTCAGCGTCTCCTACAGAATACTGGACAGAATGGAATTATGCGACGTTTGAAAGATTTGGACTTCGATGACCTTCATATTGAAATAGTTCTTCGAGTCCGGGAGATTTTGGAAAGAACCTCCCTAGATGATGTTAAGGCTGTTAGCGCTGGAGCTGCAGCGTTCTTTATTTGGGTAAGTTCAGGCCATATCAGTGCAAGTCAGGCATGTCCGATGGTCACTTAAGGGAATGCTCCATCTGTTCGGATATTTTCCGAATGCAGGCAAGCTTGAAAAACAACGTACTGACAATCTTCTCGAGAAAAGTATATTAAACACATGTTGTTATGGACATTTATCGTGAGTAGCAGTTGAAATGCTGAACTTAAAATGTATATTGACTTGTTTCCCGAGAAATGTGACTTTAGCCTACTCACGATATTTAAAGCTTTCATCTTTACTTTGTCGTTCCAATGTAAAAACAACAGTCTACTGACAACAAGTAATCTAAATTGACAACATCAGCTGAAACAATCAGTGGATACTTTGTATTTTTACCTTTCAGGCGAAGGGAATGGCTGATGAAGCTAGATCTAAACACGTGTATGATGGTATAGATGTCACAACTTTAGAACCAGCAAATGTTAAACGCCAACAGGAAATATTCAATTCAACGTTATACGACAAGGTGGCAGTGAACAAGCCCAAAAAGGATTTAGTTGGTGAATTCGCCAAACAAAGAGCAAAATCAGCATTTCCTCTGAGGTCAAGACCGAGGTCTTCCAGTATTACTGAGCCCAGAGCTTGTGCTAAGAACTCTGATGGAGGAAGTCCTAAGAGTACACCAGAAAGAAACAAGAAATCAATGTCTAGTAGTACTGTTAAAAGGCGAGTGAAATCTGCAGCAGCCATCCAACCTTCTGAAACAGCAAGGACTCTGTATTCGAAACCACCAAGGCCAAAGACATCTATTCATACCAGAACCAAACCATATACAGATAAGGTAGAACCCAAAGACGATACAAATGAGAAAATAAATGTAACATCTAAATCACCAAAAGTCAAACGACGCTCGTCAACAAAAGACTAAAACAATTATTGAAAGCATTTGAAAAAATATATAGTAAAAATATACAGTAAAATCTGTCCGATGGAACATCTTTCTTTGGAACGCCTGTCAACAAGGAACAGTTTTCTAAAGAGCCAAATATTTTTCCATTGACTTACGTGTTAACGGAAGATCACTGTATGGAACACATGTCAACTGGGAACAAGGAACCCTGTTTTAGGGTTAATTTTCAAAATTTACCTGTTCACAAGGAACAGAGAAAGGAGTGGTATGGAGATATGGAGAACTTTTTGAACACACGTTTCTCTTAAACCAAAAAATCTAAAAATTTAACACATCGTCAATTTAATGGTCATCTTTTGAGTGGTAACAATATAATTTGAAAAATATAGTCCAAACTATTTAAAAAGGGAAAAACCCGTTTATTCCGTCATTTTTACCCCGTTAAATTAATATATGCATATGAAAAATATATACTATATAAGATAAAATTAATTCATGGGCCTACAATATCTCGATGGTACATTTATTTGACACCCTCATCTTTTTTTCTCGTGCTCATTTTTTTATCTTGACTCAATACAAACTTAAATAACTTACAAGTTTTCAGGTAATCCTTTCCCATAGAATAATCTACACAATAATCTCATGTTATATATAAAATGGACTAATTACAACCCCATAGAATATTCTATGATGCCAATAAGAAAATGATTTTCACAAGCTCATAGAATATTCTATGATAATGTAGCTCCATAGAATATTCTATGGTAATATACAATTATTTAAAATCCACTTGCCTGCCTTAAATAACTTCATTACACTTCATAGAATATTGTATAGAAATAAGAAAAATAGTTTTAACACGCTCATAGAATATTCTATGATTACCCATAGAAAAGAAACTCTTTCAAAATGTAGCTCCATAGAATATTATATGGTTATAGACAATTATTTGAAATCCATTTGCTTGCCTAAAATAACTTCATTACACTTCATAGAATATTCTATAGAAATAAAAAAAATAGTTTTAACACGCGCATAGAATGATTATCCATAGAAAAACAACTCTTTCATAACGTAGCTCCATAGAATATTCTATGGTAATAGACAATTATTTAAAATCCACTTGCTTGCCTGAAATAACTTCATTGTACTTCATAGAACATTCTATAGGAATAAGAAAAATAGTTTTAACACGCTCATAGAATATTCTATAATAACACATAGAAAAACAATGCTTTCACAACAAATGTAGCTCCATAGAATATTCTATGGTAATAGAGAAATAATTCAAAATCCACTATCTTGCCTTAAATAAGTACTTGTCACTTCATAGAATATTCCATAGCAATAAGAAGAATTATTTTAACAAGCTCATGGAATATTCTACGATTACATATAGAAAGACAATGCTTTCAGAATATCCTATGGTTATAGAGTAATATTTAAATATCCACTTGCTTGCCTATAATTAGTTGACACTGATTATTTACAGCGGGCTGAAAAAGTTATTTCATCGTGTTTAGGGTCATTCTGACCATGGACATTGTGATCCTGGTCCTGTAAATGATATGTGGAACTATTTGAATTGACTAGAGGTCAAGACAGAACTCTGTTATCTTTGTTTGAAAATGTCTAAAATGCCACAGTTTTTGTCAATTCCTGTTTTGTCATTTCCTGTTAAGTACCACTGCACCTGATGCCTGGGCCACATTTGCTGCGATTCATCGGCCGGCGCCCTCCTGATTGATTATTCTGTTCAAAATTGAATGGGCCTACGTTTGTGAACAGGATACTCAATCGGCCGGGTGCCGGCCGATGAATTGGTGCAATTGTGACCCAGGCATTAAGGTTTTCAACGAGTTTTGCGGCTATGAATGGACTGTCAAGTATGGTTAGCGTTACACTCAAACTCGAGTTTTATCATTCAATATACTCTACAGGTAGCATCCATTAGTATAGAAACCATTTGGTATCGTTCCATTTCCTTAGTATCTCATTCACGGTTTCACTCACTGTTCACTCATATAAATACGTTTGCATTCATTTATCACGTTTATCTGTTGTGTGTCCTGAAGTGTGTCGTCTCATGGACGCTGCAATGGAAACATTTTGTTACTGTATTTCTGTGTTTCGGTAAATTCTCAACGTTAAGCCATGATTATTAAACATTCCCTTTAACAGAAGAAATCCACACAATTTAGTTGGGTTTTGCAATACGATAGTACATCAATTAATGTAGAATAAAAGAGCAAATCCTGCATTTTTTTAATCCATATTTTCTACAAAATTGCCCCTAAAATTTTTTGTTCAAAATATACTTAGTTGTGTCATTTCATAAGCTATTGTTAAATTGGTTTCAGCATGCCTCATAACAATTTTATTGGAATCCATGAATATTGTATTTTGAGATACATAACTGTATCATGTTCAATACGGAACCATCTCAAAATATGCTTGTATCTAATCCAATGGAGTAGTCTTTGGTAATGATTTGCAAACTACCACAATACTTACCCTTGTTATGCTTAACCTGTCCAACAGGTTTCTTTCTTGCTACACGGGCTATTGGTGTGGGGTTAAGGGTGGATTCTGCATGAAAAACAAATCATAGTATGGTGTCGAGTAAATCTTAAACTATAATCATCAAAGAATGACCAACATATGTCTAACACTAAAAATACACAAACAACAAAAACACGTCTATATGACAGTGTTTCTCCAAATATATGCAGTATTTTGGATACATTGGACACTAAGCTCTCTCTCATAACATTTAAGTAACCAATTTCAAATAAAACAAATATACATACTTTTATTTTGTTCTGCATGTACTCTTTTCTTTTTCACTGTAAGGGATGTGGATGTGGGCTTGGGTGTTGATTCTACATACAATATAAATATAAGGTATTAATGCATCATGAACTAAAAGTCTACATCGTGCGTGTATTATGATTATTTAAAAAGAACAGAATAAAATCCTATGCTACCCCACCCAACTAGGGATCGAACGCACGATCCATCGCTTTAGTATGGTTGTTCTATACCCCATAAATATATAAATATAGTTATGTATATTAAGGTACTACAAATTATAATAAGATGATAAGGGTTTACTAGAAATATATACATCATACTCACTTTTGTTGTGATCGTTATTCACTTGTTTCTTCCTAACTTTAGGGGCAGTGTGTACAGAGCGTTGAGGGGAACCTACATGGAAGCCAAAAACGTTTTATGTATGTAAAAAATCAATTGGGTAGTTCCTGTTATTTTTTCAATCAAATAAATTCAAAGGGTGGTGTTTGACACATTTAGTATACCGACAGACTGATGTCTTCGTTAATCCGATGGTAAAGTATTGGCAGAATAATTGGATAACTGGAATAATATTGAAGAAAAGAACATAACGTTACGAACAAAACCAGTATATTGAATTCAACTGGCAAAGCTACTGTGTAAACCCAAAACTGTAAATACTCTGTTCTGATCCGGGGTTCTGCTTGGCCAGGAATGAGTAAGAAAGACTTCATTTCCACATGGTTCAATGCATGTTTGGTTATAATTATTATTTTTTATTTATGGCATCAGAGTTGACTTGTGAGATGTGTTTAATCGAAACTAAGATTTGACCTATGAACTCCACGTGCGCGTTTGCGAATGGAGCACTTAATGAGCCTTGTCATGGCTTTGGGTGGATCCTTAATGATACAGGGATATATGATGTACAGGGAATTAATGTATTAAAAAATCAAGCTTATCATTGACTCGATTTAAAGATAATAATCTTGTTGACTTAAAGGTATAAAGAATACTAGTTTATAACAGGGGCAATGGAAATGTATCTTATGACATTGTTCTTCTACAATTAAACATAAATACTTACGTTTTTTGTTTTGGTCAACCTGCACTTTTTTCTTCCTCCCTGAGGTGGTGGATGGTTTCTTTCCCTGTGTGTTACCAACATTTACCTATAGCAATGCCCAGAATGAAATTGGAGGTCATATACATTTGCAATATATGATGGAACTGAAGGCTTTGATTCAATTATGAAAAACAACACATTTTTCATAACATACATACTTCAATTGTGAATTTACTTAACTAGAATGTTTGATTCTTATTGAACGATTGAAAATAAGAATTGAATCCCATTGAGGACATAATTATTTTGGCGATGATAAGACAGTGAAATTCAAATTCTTACATTTGGTGTTTCCATCTCATCTTGTAGCATTTTTGATATCTCCTTTGGGATAGCATCGCTGGGAACATTGTCTGTAGGTTCATCAAACTGAATGGGAAGTTGATCTAAAGGCCATGGCTTTTGGTGTCGAAGCATATACTGGCGTAGCTCCTGATCAGAAGTAATCAGTGATTTGATCCTTTTGATGTACTCTGCCCACCATTTATACTGAGTGTCATTGCGCTGATCACTATAAAGCGGCCTCAGGAACCTTTGGTTCTTTTCGATGAGTTCAATGCCAAGTTTCGAAAAATCAGGCTTGACCAGATTGGGAACTCCTTTGGGTTCTGATTTTAGTATTCCGTTTGATTCAATCCATGGTTGATCCTGTAGCCCTTTATAATATAACCTGACACCTTCGCTGGTTTCAATAAACCTGAAATGTAATGGTGTTGTGTGATGCCGTATCGTTTCCAGATGTGGTGATATCCACTCTCTGAAATCAAAAATCGACCCTATGACTTCGACATCTGGGAGGAGCTTTGTGAGTTCATCAAATGTTTCTGCTTCATTTGTGCGCAGCAGGTCAGCGATGTTGTGGAAAAACGCGTCGATATCCTCGTGCGTGTGCCCCACAATTAGAAATGAAATATGGACCTGGAAACACTTGTTTTGTTAAGGTTGATGCAATATAAAGCAACTGATACATACTTCCCGGAATTTGAAATTACGTACACATGTTCTTAAACTTATATAATAACATAAATGAAAGACATTTGTTATTTCTATTTTTAAAGAAATTCAGTTCAGATTTTAGTATTTTAAATTCTAAGTCAGTGATCAAGGACTTACTTCTTTGAAGACCTTTCTTCTAACCAACAGTTCACAAAATCCTAACACATATTTGTTTTCAGTCTTGATCAACAAAAAACAGCAGGATTTATCAAGGTAAGTAAAAATAAGAGAATACACTATGCGTAGTTCACATACGGACGCTTTGTTCTTGTGTTCATTGTCAATGAAGTTTATTCTTTCAAAGTTAGCATCAAGATAATTCATTCGAGCAAATATTAAGCACTTTAGATTGCTCATTAAAATAGATTGTAATGTATTTATTTGCTTTGTTTTATCAATTGAATAAACAAGCGAACTCGATTAACCCACTAAATGTTTACATATGTA